ACCCAATTCTTCCTCCTCCGGAATGAATCCAAGCATCTAATCTAATAGGAGGGAAAATCACTCCTCCCTTTCTTTCAATCTTCCCTAAAATCCGTTGGCTTTTATCCATGGCACGACTGTTCTCCTCCCACGTATGAACTCTCTCCGGAACCCTCTAGAAGCCAGGCAAATAAATAGGCAATCGGAGCCCTTCATCAATGGAATTCTCTAGAACTTATAATGTGAACAATCCAATTGGCTCTCCATTCTTTCAAACTTTTTGAAACCCCAATGATCAATGATCCAAAGTCAGTCAGCCCCTTGGAGGCTAAGTTTTGCATCTCTCTCTCTCTCTCTCTCTCTGCAATAATGAGAGTTGGAAGACATCTAGTTGTAATGGTCTAATTCTTGTTCCAATGTGATGACTTAATTTTATTCTAATGAGGATATTAGTAAGTTTTTCTTAACAGATTATAAATTAGAGTGAAAGAATTAATTCAATTTAAAGAGTTTAAAGTACATATATCAAGTTGATAAAGTCATTAATAAGTCAAGCACTAAGTGTGAGAATAATAGTTTTTTTTTTTTAACAATTTTGTAAAGAGTCGAATTCGAACAGTTGCCAGAGAAGGGGAATACACTTAAACGTAACTTGATTTAATAGTTAGTTTAAATAATATAATAATGAAAATTAAGTATAATTTTATAGAAATTGTAAATCAATTAAATATTAAAATTAATTGATTTTAATTTTATTTAAATAATTAAAATTATATTATTTAAGTAAGCTAATTAACTATGAGAATAATTCCTATTTATTTTATTTTTAAAATTATGGAAAAAAAAAAGTACTTATAATGTGGACAATCCGATTGACCCTTCATTGAGTCAACTTTTTTATCAATGATCCACGGTCAACTCTTAGAGGCCAAGTTTTGCATCTCTCTCTGCAATAATGAGAGTTGGAAAGACCCCAATTGTGTTCATCTAATTCTTGATCCTATGTGATGATCTAATTTTATTCTAATATAAGAATTAGTCAGTTTAAAAATAATAATTATAATAATAACTAAGTATAATTTTATTGAGATTATAAATTAATTAAATATTAAAATTAATTAATTTAAATTTTATTTAGACATTTGAAATTAAATGATTTAAGTGAATTAATTAATTATAAAAATAGTATTTATTTGCTTTACATATTAAAAATTAAGAAAAAAATCATTTTAAAACTATATTATTTCAAATACTTTTCACACGTTAATATATAATCCAATATTTCAGTAAACATTAACTTATTCTATATCACAAAACTTTGTTCTTTACACTTTCCACACGTTAATATATAGTCCAATATTCTAGAAAACCTTAACTTATTCCACACGTTGATATATTAAACTCACACCACATGTAGAGCAATTAATTTTCCACTT